ACCCGCCCCTGACCCACCCCCTAACCCACCACCTAACCCACCCCATAACCGACACCCAACCGACTCTCTAACCGGCCCCCTAACCAACTCCCTAACCGACCCCCTGATCGAGCCCCTGACCGACCCTCTAACCTACCCCCTAACACTTTACAAATTAATTTAATTGCAATTAATATCAATTCAATTGAAATTAATTGCAATTGATTTCCATTGAATTGATTTTTTAAACTGATTGAAATTTAATTGATTGACGCCCAACACTGGTTGATACACTAGTATCGAAATCGTTTTTTGAAATATAATCTGCATAGTCAATATTCAATCGATGGAATATTTATCGACTGCAATCACTGGCTGCTTGTAAGCTGGCAACACTTTTGAGCATTGAACTGTAATTTTACTTCGTCTTGGAAAAAATATAGTATCTATTGACTATATACGGAATTCTCAATCTTAAATCTTTCAAATTTCTTAGGACTATTTGCCCGCCGACATGATATGCCACGCGACCACAGTCCAAGAGGCACCTCTAGTCCCGCTTCCGCCCCCGCAGGAGGTGCCGATCCCTCCCCTCATCCTGCAGTCTCTTGATAAGAACAAACCCAACGGCGACGACAAGATCTTAACGCGGAAAGAGACCAAAGGATTTCGGATAGGATCCGCGCGACGGGTGACTGAGCAACACGCGTCACTCACGAACGGAGACGTGGAGAAGTCCAAATTCCCGGTGTGCCTACTAACCGGAGAGGGTGACCCCGACTTCGGCACCCCCGTCTGAACCGATACTGCCACTAATTTATATACGAGAGTGATATATCAACTGATAGTCGCCTCAAATTTTCAGTGTGAAGCTACGATTATAGAACGGCTTAAAAGTGCTAGCTACCGTTATTATTCTTATTAAACAAAAGCTTAGTTTTAATTTTGCCTTACTTTTTAACGTTGGACTTCACTTTTTGCAGTATTTCTTTTATGAAATTAACACTACGTAAATTCGAATTAATTGATCTCATTAGAAATTCAATCCTACACGGGAGGGCCCTAAATTCAGTTTGTAATATTATTTTGGCAGTTTTATCTATACGGCCTAAGCAGACACATATACATTTTTTCCGGTATCGAACTAATGGTTCAGTAATAACCGAACGACAATATTCGTTTAGATCTTCCGTGACAAAATTGTTGTAAAATAATTCCTAAATTTCCGTGGGTTTGTAATATACGTATTTTGAAGAAATTACAGATGTTCTTAGAGATATTAAATACTTCTGGTCCCGATGCGCAAAATGAAATATTTGTAAATGGTTATAAGTGGTTATGTATATTTTCTATTACTTTGGTAGTTGGTAGACATAAAATTACTGTATAGCACAAAAAAGTTTTTACAATTTATGGAAAATTAGTCCATTAGTCCAAATTAATCCATATTATGTACTATGTATTTTTTGTAATATTATTTATTTTAATTAGTCCTAGTTTTATATAGATTATTTTATAATAATAGATTATTGAGAGATTAGATACTTTATGTATTGGGCAATTTATTTTAACATTCCTTAAAAATATATGATTCCATATAAAAGTTAAAATGTAGGTATCAAGTTTCATATTTAACGTATTCTTGTTGTAACAAGTTTGATAAATTTTAAAAGTGTCGAATGTATCAACATGTTATATTAAAAATTGTGAACAAAGTCACAGAATTGGTGTAATAAGTATTATTGTCGTGTAATACTGTGTACAATTTTTTGTATATTATTTCTTTATTAACCCTATCATGAACAGTAACAGCGTTTACCGTAAAATTAAATATTAGAATATAGTAAGGGGCACCGGGGTACCGTAATGTCGCTATAAGGATTTCAAAAAGCCAACTAAGTGCTTTACAGTGCAATTCCCAAGTGCTTTCTGTGTCGTTGCCGCTTACTGCTTTTCCATAGAGAAGTATCAACAACATAAGTACTGACAAAATGCAATGATTTACAAACATTGAATATCAATATAAAATGTTCAATGTTTGTCTCAAAAATGTCAATCAGTAGACATTTTTGAGTGCGGTATTATTTAAGTACTTTCCATGAAAGGGTTAACCTTAGATTACAATGGTGTGACCGTTCTTTGAAAACAACGACATTTTAAAGCTTCATGGCATAAAAATGTTGTATCGAATATCTTCTAAAAACGTATTTGTTTAGGTCGATGAACAATCTTACACTTGACCGTCTCGCGTTCGTCTCTACGGCTCCAGGTCGGCGATTTGGTCAATTGACGCGCACACGGAACAGTCTCAGTATACAGTTTACAGCTAGTCACGTCAATGCATTTGTTGCGTGATGTATTTTTTGGCGCCAACTCCTGAAATACTGTGGGGACAAGATGAATTGCATGTCGCGAATGACTTTCGCTTGTTGTTTGGCGACGATAAATAGTGCGAGCTAGAACGACTTCAAACATTACATATGTTCGTGAATGAATACGAACATTGACTGTTTTTATACATATATTTCAATAGCTATTTGTTATGGGTAGTGATTTTCCAGTAATCTTGCCTACAAGAGCTAATTGCATCGTGTGTGCTATTGGCTATTACGACCCCACAGTCATCGTTGAACGTAACGCATTAAAGTTTTCAAATAATTAGGGCTAAAATTAAATACATATCAGTGATTTGGGGCTAGTGTTACGCATAACAACTGTTTGGAATACTGCCAATCGGACATCGCGTGTTGTCAACAAGTAAATACCGTCATATTATTACACAGCTATCAATAGCGGTTACCAACTCATAAAATAATTGACTTTTTTTATTAAGTATAAGTTGTTACACTAATAATTTGAAATAGATTATCAATGAATTTGAAATAAAATGTTGCCTATTTAACGAAAATTTTGTAAGTAGGAAGTTTATGTATTTTATTATGAATGTCGAAATGAATTTGTGAGGAACATCAAGTTCGGTAACACTGACTGTATCAGACTTTCGGCGCGCGCTCGCGATGCATTATTTTGTTGCCGCGATAATGCACTCCTCATTTTCATACATACAGGACAATACACCTATGTATTATAATTAAATGTATTATTTATGAAATAACTCTGCGTTTTTTTTTTGTGTAATAAATCCGTCCTGTGGGCTAAGGTCAGTTAAGCATCATACGCATTCGTCAGTGTCATATCTGTCAACGGACCAGCAACCCCTGATTAGTTCATCTAGGCCATTCATTGCCCGTGGTCCAACTAGTTGGACCAAGGTTAAAGTTTTTTGCCCGTGGCTCTACCAGTAGGACTACGGGCAATATTGTATGGGCATTGGACCTACTGATCGGTTAGTACAGTTACCGTTAATATTAATAATGTTACTGTTTCTGTGCTAACTACAATTGTTCTGTAGGATGACCCCTGTGACAGTTCATAAAAAATAGCAAGATATAATCTTGTATTATAATGTGCACTGTTTAATGTATGTTATGAATTATTTTTGTAAGTATCGCTTTTAAGTGAAAATCTTATATGGAGCGTGCAGTCACTGTAGAGCGCCGCAGCTGGCTTTAAAACCCAACGTCATTAGAATGGCGACTGATCAGGCCAGCAAACTTGGTCAAGGGTGAAATAAAACTATAAATTCTAAGGATTACAGTTACCAGGACCACATACCCATCTCGCCTGCACGCGGTGCACCATGCACGTAGCAAAAGGGGCTCTGGCCACACTTTAAACAGAGTATTCCCAAGGAGGGTTGACGTCAGGCAGGCGGCCGGTCATAACATACCATGCGATATCCGTTTACAACGCGTATTCACATAAAATACGTGCTGTGCCGACCCCACCTAGCGTGGGATAAGGACAGGAAGAAAAAGAAGAAGAAGATTAGTTGCGCCAACTTTTGTAATAAGTTGCCATGGTAGTCTAAATTTTTTTTATTTTGCCTTAAAATGATTTTTGTTAACAATTTCAAGAAAATATTAAAACACAATTATTATTTAGCACGCACATAAAAAAAATCGTGAGGTCCTCTGGTCCTCGTTCCGTGGCTTAGTTGGTATAGCGTCTGGCACGGTATGCTAGAAGACGCCGGTTCGAATCCGGCCGGATCGAAGGAATTTTTTCTGAGTGTTCGATCTTTGTATTAATAATTATAACAAACTAGTGGAGTAATTTCCATAAAAATAATTGAATATCAATTAAATAAAACGTTCTGTTAGTTATAGTGTCCTGTATTTAGGTCTGCAGGAAGAAATTTCTATTAGAAATAAGCACAACCTTTTGTTTTTAATTTCGCTTGTATTCTTTGTGACTTGTATTTTTCCTGTACAATAAACTATTAAATAAATAAATAAATAATAAAAATTTAATTAAAAATGTATCCAAATATCATTCTTGTCGCGCTCATTTTTGTCTACTCTAGTCAAATAGTTACTTTAAGCCAAACATTTACTTTAAATATACCTACTAGATGGTGATAATGGTGGTGGTGATGATGATGATGGTGGTAGTGGTGATGATGACGATGAATGTGATGATGGTGATAATGGTATGAAGGTGATGTTGATGATTGTAGTGATGATGATGGTTGGATGACGATGTGAACGGTAATGATGCTGATGATAATGGTGATCATGATCATGACGGTGGTGGTGATGATATAATAAAATAAACAGTATATATGACATTACTAAAATACTAATTCACATTTATTTATTACATACAGATAACTGCAAACTTGTTCCCTAAACGTTATAACTTGGACCTTTTCAAGGCGTGAGTGAATAGGCATTATCTAGGTGTCCATGCTCCATCGTCGACCTAATTGTCACTTTCCATCAGGTGAGATGGAGGTCAAATGCACGCTAGAATAAAAAAAAGATAGATAGATGGCCTTACACGGATGAGAAGGATTTTGATACAAGAAGTGATATTAAAATATTTGTTACAATATGTTAAATGCTGTTAAGTGTTCTATTGTGAACGATAAAATGTGTGTTGTAATAATAATTTCTCATTGCTGTGCCGTCTTTCTCATTTATGTTTATGAGAAAATCATTCGTGTTACCGGCAATGTCATTCGTGTGATCTAAAATTTTTGTTTTTTGTTGTATTTTACATAAATATTTCAGTTATTTAATAATTATTGACATTGTTTGAACTTATTTGTACGTTTAAGACCTTAAAACCAAAAGAAAAAAGGGTTTTACGATAATAACTCAAAAAGTACCATTGAAATTCGTAAATTGAAATTGGCCCGTGACGGCCTTAGGGGAAAGTCTATATCCAGCAGTGGACGTCTTTCAGCTGAAATGAGATGATAGGATAGCGACACAACAACAAATCTATTTTATTACTTTAGAGATAGCATTGTTCCAAGGTAGATGATTCTGTTTGACTTATAAATATTTTTCACGTTTGGTTTTTTATGATACTAAGTGATAGGACGAACAAGTTGTGCGCCTGATGTAAGCTGTTGCCTATCCATAACAGTTGCAGTGCCACTCAGTGGTTTAAATGGCAAAGATCGCACCCTTATCCTTCATAACCGGAACCTAAGACCGGAACACAGTAATGCTCACATTACTGCTTGGCGGCAGATATAGATAAGGTGGCAGTACTTCCCTGGACGAGATCTTTCACAAGGACCTCCACTGCCACTGAACGAAATAAATTTGTTTAGTAGCAATATTGTTTAACAACAAAATAAATTTATTTTCCTTTTCCATGGTGTTCAACAAAATCATAATTATAACCTTAAATTATAATCATCGTAAACGACTCACGCACGATTTTTGAAAAATTTCTATGAACGTAACATTATTATTATTCATAATAATTCTTATTTATTGCACAAGAAAAGACACATGAAACACAAGTTACAAAGGACATGTTATGCAAAGGTGAGATTATCTCTAGAAGAGATCTCTTCCAGCCAACCCTAGCCGTGGCGTAAAATAAAGTCTGCAGGACTAATTATTGGACAATAAAATTAAAATTTTAATGTGAATAAAAAATATAGGTAAATGATAATATAGGTATGCATGTACATATGATAGACATACTCACCTACGTGAAGTTTGTATGTATACAAAAATACATACATAAGCAGAATATATATTATAATCTAAATTTATTACCGATTAAAACTTTAATAAAATTATTCCAATCAAACAAAACGTGTTGTGATTAGTGGCGCAAAAAGTTGTCGTGGTACTTAAATATTACTAAATTGGACATATTTTTAGAGAAAATATAATATACAATTGACCTTTTCGCTTGTTATAAAATAATTTTAAAGTCCCAAACTTGAAATAAAGGGTATAAACCCGACATTCTCAAAGATAAACAATATAGAAAACATCAAAACAAAATTATGCAGGATTTACGTTAATTTAATGGTCACATTGAAGCTGTCAAAAATAATATTAAAGTGTGGACTAATGGCCAAGCCTATTTTTCTGGTTTAGTGTTTTTTTTCGATTAATATTTTATATTTTAGCAATTTCATCAAACAGACAAACATGGTTGTCAAAGTATATATTAGTGGTATTTCTGGAAACAAAGAGGTATGGATAATATTAGAAAATTCCTGAGACGGCCGGGTGCTTATCGTATCTTTTTCTTTAATCTGAATCGCAGTAAAGGTTGCATTTTGATTACGTGATTTCTATCGATTTCAGGTGAAAAAACGACAACAACGTGTACTGATGATACTCGATTCAAAACACGTAAAATATGATGTCATTGACATAACGGAGCCTGGACGAGAGGCAGATAAAGATTTTATGCAAAACAATGCCAAGTCGAACGGAGCCACCGTGAGCGACCCTAATCCGCGCTCGCCACTGCCCCCGCAGGTGTTCAACGACGATGAGTACTGTGGGGTATATATCCATTAGACATTTTCTATTTACTTTAAAAAATAAACCAAAAAGGAACACTATGAAAGTAATAACATACTTCCTGCCTTATGAGTATGTTATCACTACCACTTTGTTTATTATTTGCATTACTACAATGCAGTTGGCAACCTACTCTTAATTTACAGATTTGTGTAGCGAATGCAAAAACCTTATTTTATATTTCAGGATTATGATCAGTTTGATCTTGCCAATGAAGTAGACACCCTTGAACAGTTCTTAAAAATAGAAGTACCTCCAGAAGAAACTCCACAAGAGCAAAATAAGGTAAATTTCAGTTCCTATTGATATAATATAGCTTATGACTGGCACTCGCGGAGCGGAATGTACTGTTTATCAGTAACTGACACTGTATGCCTCTGTTTTGAGTCATCAATTGTATTGTGTTACACAAGGTTGATTATATAAACAGATACATATACTAATTTACAGTTTATAATGATTCAATTTTTATTTACAGGAAACTACATTTAATGGTGATGTTGATGCAAAAGGAAATGAAAGCAATTCCAAGGAAGCATCAGCAGAAAGGGTACCTACATCAAAGGAGACCACTCCAGCTAAAGAGAGCACACCGCAGAGAGAAGCCACACCAGCACATGAAAATGAGGCTCCAAAGGAGTCCTCACAAGGTGAGGATGGTAGTGTGGAGCCTTCTGACAAAGAAGGTTCTACTGGGAAGGAAGTATCACCAGAAAGGCAGAAATCAGTTGAAAAAGAAGATACACAAGCTCTTAATGCAGCTTCTATTGAAAAAGAGTCTGATGTAGGATCAGAAAAGACATCAAAGGAAAATAGCCCTGAAAAAGAAGAGTCTGTCAATGAAAATGGAACAGCAAGCTCTCGGGAGCAGTCTACAGAGAAAGAAGCAGCTGGTGACTCTGAGGCAGCAGAGAGGAAAAAGGATAATCCCTCAGAAGCTCTAATTAAAAATGAGCAAGCGGCCGCTGAAGATTAAGGACTGGACACTATGTTAATCGCTTTTCAGCTCAAAGCAAGCCCTCTTAGCACTAAGCAAGCATTATAAAGTCTGTTCTGTTAATGGTGATGCATTGTCTCACTTCTTTGGCACGATTTAGTCATTGTATATACTACAAAGAAGTATTTGTTGAGAACTGATGTTTGTGGCAATGTATAGTTACATGTTTCCATGAGGTGGTCTAATATAAATTCATTAGATTTTATTAATCAATTCTTTATAAAGTTCCATGTAAGATTTTTATTTAACAATTTTATTCTCCGTTAAGGCTTCTATTATTAAAGCATCGTCTTTTATTTTTATTTTACAATTTTATTAATTTGGCTTATAATCGTAATTAAATTTTATATTTAAGATGAAATATTATTTATCATGAGTATATTACTCATAAAGAGTGCTCTTTTTTGTAATTTTTATTTAAGAGATCATTACATGCCGCTTTAAATGTTAATGAATTGAATTAGTCGGCTCACCGCTCGGTTTTTTATTATTTCATCATATACTTATTACGTAATATAGACGAGCATTGTTAGGAAGTGACCAGGCACTGCTTCAGTTTGGGTTTTTAATAAATTACCTTTTTTCATGACAATCTTTATTTCATCAAATATTAATATTAAAGACATTTTTTTTAACTAATTTTCATACGAATTATATAAAATGCTAAAAATTAAATTGAATTTTATTTCTCAATCCCTGATTTTTAGGTTTTTTCTTATTTGGCATTAACAATAAGTGCACATATACATATATATCATTGGCAGCTCAATAGAATTTCGTATAGCTTCTAGTCTAGTAATTAGCTAACACTAACATTTTCTTCAGCTACAAGGACAGAACAGTAATACAACGCGACGATAGATGTCTGTCAGGATTGTAGCAAGTGGAAGGCTGTGTTCTCCACCTATCCCAATGGGGAAAGGGCGTGGAGTGTATGTATGTATTTTAGTAACACAATATAATGTCATAAGCTAAAACATGTTTATTTCCACGATTTCTTTGAGCAAATAAATCTTAACAATTTATTTTATTATACATAGTTCAACTTACGTTAACAAAAATAAATATGGAGTAACATTTTATAAAAATCTAAAATGGAAATGTAAGACATCAGGTATCTAATTCACTTCATTGTATAAATTATACCTACAATGAATCTAAACAGCCTCTATAATATACGCTAAAAAACTAGTTTATAATTTCATATACTCTTCTTCAGTACTGGAGATGGCGGATTGCTTAAATCTTTGAAGAGCGACTCTGGTGGAATTTCTGCTACGTTTCTGTGCCGTAGCTCGCACTCTGGGTGATCGTCAAGGAGGCAGGCCTGTATGTTTTTGTCGAGAGAGACTACGCGCTGCCGAGAGTTCTTGAACTCTTCAACAAGGCTTAAATTTCGTTTGATGCCGTCGACTAACTTGACGACGGAATACTCGCCCATGGCAGCACCTTCCTGTAACTTTGTACCGGCGATCTTGGCCATAGATGAATCTCTCACATCAAGGAACGTCTGCACACACCAATCCTTTAGGTTGCTGAGGATCGTCACAGGCCCCTCATACTCGTTGGGTACGATGCCGTCCACTTCTGATTCGAAGAAAGATAATAGGGGAAACCATATCCTTGTTCTGTAAACAGATTTGATTGCATTAATTCTTAGAATCGTTTAAGCTTACCGAGTTTTTAATAAGATAATAATGTGCTATCGTTAGCTGATTTTATCTCGTCAAAACACAAAAAAGTGAACGATAATTTCAAGTGATGATCGATTTTTACACGTATTATGTTTCTACTTAACCTTTTTATTATCCTTAATCTACATCCTCATTAACGAATAGTAAACAGCGCGCATTAGTACCAACATTGAAGGTCGTATCGATTACGAATGGATTTATGGACGATATTTCGATGGCCCAACGGTTTGCCTGTGGGTGCTGGAGGTCCCGGTTTCGATTCCCGGTAGGACCAATTTCGAAAATGAACTTTTCTAAATTGTTTCTGGTCTGGGTGTGTTGGGCAGTGACACGGAGTGAATTCTGTTGTTCTGGTATTCATAGTAAAGGGCATTTGTGCCCTTTGATACCAGGAAATTGGTGTAGTTATTCGACACTGTTAGTATTAATTTGAAGATTACGGAAGATCAGATAAATATTATACATATTTCGCACGAATACCGCCCAACGACAATTATCTCTAATTTTTTAAGATGTATGGTCAAATAGGGTGAAATTCAACTTGCTATCATGTTTAGGGAACGAGTGGCTTTAGCTTTTACAAGTAACACAAAAACCTAGCACAAACAACAACCACGCAACGCATAAAGGAACAAAGATATAACTGACCAATATAGGTCAACACTAATGCATACAATCATTGTGTCAATATTGGTCGACCTTAATTGTTTACAATGTACCCAGTAGACTATTTTTAAAAGGATAGTATTAGTTTCAAACCATACAGTTGCGCAACGACGGTACCTTCGGTGCAGAGCAACGAAGGGGCACTCGAGGGGGTCGGTAGGCTTAAGCCGATACGAGCGAACAGGTTTAGTTTGCATGCCGAGTTCTAAGGGTTGACGTGATTTAAATTATTTTTGAATACGTTGAGTGAGTTCACGAAACTTATTTGTATGTATATGTCGTCTGCATAAAGGTAACACCACATTAGTGACATTTTCCACAAAAAACTCTCCAAGTTATGTACCAGAAGTTCGCCACCTTTTTGCAGATAAAACTCTTAATAAGTTTATAGCTTTTTTGTTACTGAGAATCACGTGCAGAAAGATAGTGATTTACCTTTAAGCAAACGATATAATAGTGCACAACTGTTCTGTATACGGTTATACAACGAAATACAACAGGGATTTAAAATTTCATAGATTTTCCCGTGACGCGAGGTATATTTTCCAATATTTTTGTAATACGTATACGTAGGTATAGTTGACGAAATATTATTTGCACCGATTCGTCTTACCTCTTTATCTTTAGAGTACAATAGAATGAGCCGTCTCGGCAAGGCACGTGCCATCTGTATAGTGCAAATATCTAGTTTAAACACTTTTATGCATTGACATTTAACTGTGATCTTCACGCGGCGGGACTAAATTTGCTGAATTAGTAAGAAAAGAGTTGGTAGTCGGTTTCCTATGGAGTACCTATAGTTGAAAAAAATAAACGACCTGATAACCAAAGAAATAATTCAAAACTAGAATTCAGAAGAAGCCTTAGCGCGCCGGTGACTTATACGATGGCCCAAGAGCATTAAATCCCTGTACGCTTTAAATAAAAGAAGTGTTAACGGTTTTATTACACTATTGCAATAGAAAGGATCAGTCGTTCCAAGCGATAACATTTATCGGTGCTAATAATATTTCTTCAAATAGTAGATGTAGACCTACCCGTATAATATCTATGCATGAAAGTAAATTGTAACTCCCTTGCCGCTACCGTAATAATCAAAAGAAATAGAAATAATTATTTCAACTTCTATCTTAAGTCGATCATGAAAAATAAAATATACGTTGTGCAGATATTACTTAGGTATTTCTTTTTTAAAAGATAGGTGTTATAATAGGTTGGTTATTATTTATTATTAATTACGCTTTAAGAAATAGCAGTGCACGCACGAACGTATGTGCAGCTTCATGACTAGATTAAGAACTAGCAAATCATGCGGCCCTAAAGCTGCTATGCTACTAAGTTTCTTTGTATGTGGAGTGTTAAAAATTCAAGTTAAAGAGGCACACCCCGCGCGCGATGTGTGTGGACCTCTTGAACTCTTATCGTGATGTTTGGTTATTTAGTATTTTAATAAATTATGATCCACTAAACTATACACTTGTAAATTATGATCCACTGATGTGTGTGTGAATGTTAATCTTGTTTTTTATAGACAATCGTTCATATTTTATATGTTTATTTATTGGATATTTATCTTTCCAGGTGCCAGTTATGGATAGATGCTTGTCAAAAATCCTGACTTGGAAGATAAAAACATTAAACAATTAAATAACATGTATGTATGTGGCTCACTCTTCGAAGGATGGATGTATATTTAAAAGTACTGCTATTCCCGTTTAAACTTACCATTTGCTTCAATACATTATATGTATACATATAATACATTGTTCATCCGAATGCGTATAAACTATACATATAGTTAAATTTAATAACAGAAAACTGAAAACATCGAAAAAAAAATATATTGTGTCACGCAAATAGTTCGCAGTGCCACACTTGTAAATTTTTATAACTAGATCATAAATACTTAATAATTTTTTTAACAATTTCGTCATTGTGTATTGAGAAATAATATTTATTGTTAATAAATCATTATGTGACAACCTTTTTTTTTGCATTTGCGTAACTACCTACACGCGTGGCGGTATTACGCGAACTTCAAAGGCGTTGCGCTACTGTAGGGGATATAATTGTAATACTGTGGTATTAGTCACCTGGAAGAGTCATTCTGCATAAGCGCTTGGTTATTAGAGAGCGTGTGATAGTAGAGGAAGAGGCGGCTAGTGATGTAGAACGCGATGAAAACGTCGATGGAGTAGTGCTCATGGGCCGCCAAGATGAAGAAAATGCCGAACATGTTCATCACCCATGTCAATATGTGCAACAGGTACAAGCTGCGGGACGTATCTGTTAAAGACAAAAATTACTTTCATTAATATCAACACTAGGACCCACGAATGACATCAATATATTTGATAATTTATGACAGTAACCTATATTTAAAGTGTCAATGCACTTATACGCTCAGTATCTTTACAAGCAACACGATGGCGATTTTAGACGACCTCGGTGGGCCAACAATTATGGGCGCTGAATGCGGATTTCCCGACTTCGATTCTCGGTAGGACCAATTTGGGAAATGAATTTTTCTAAATTGGTTATGGTCTGGGTATTCAGGGAAGTGCCCCCGAAGGGAATTCCGTTGCTCTGGTACTCATAGTACAGGGAATTCCCTATTTGAGAACAGGCAATTGGTGTGGTTGTGTGACACATGTTAACAAAAGTACAAAAGTGGAGACAAAAGTATTTACAAATCTTAATAGCTCCACCCATATTAAGCAGTGGAGATAATATGAGTACTTAAAATATTACTGGACCCACTAGTGGAACCAACAGTCCGAAAAATATTTTTTAATAAAAAATTATTTGCAAGTATTTACAATGATATCTTTGAACACATATCGGGTAAACTCGATGTAGACCCAAGTGGAAGTAAATAATATTTTTTAATATAATATTATTTAGTAATTAAATTTATAATTAAGCCGCGTGCTACGTGAGTGATATTATTGTGACAATGATAACAATATACCTATTTCATCAAAAGATCACTTAATGTGTGAAAACGAAGGAAAGGCGTGCCCCGTGATAATACTCGTATATGCAAGACATATTAATGTAGTAATTCTCTTTTTTGATCTACAGCGGTAATAAGTCGTATTTTTCCAACTAAACACGCATGTAGCACCGAATCAAATTACCAACCTTATTTGCTTGTTAGTGAAAACAGACAATAAATAAGGGACTTAATTAAATTAAATCACGCTATTTCTGTCGTATAATAATAACCACGGCCATGAAACGTCACCCCGCACTGTGGGCCCAAATTGATAATTCTTGGACATAGCAATAACTTGTGGAGTATCAAGCTATTTTTTTTATGTGATAGATAATAACATTCCTAACAAGTTTTATTCTTGTATAATTTCTTGAAAAGTTGATAGTTAAGGAGAAACAAAAATTTTTTTACATGGATAATCTAACAAATCCATAATTTCATATATGGAAATATACTTTTTATTTTTATCTCAAAACATACGAAAATGTAATTTGCGTAGGTTACTTACAGTATAGTTCCAATAATTTTCTATGCAGAAAAAATAATCCGTCTGCATGTACTTGCGGCTTTATAAGTAAAAGTGCAGCAAAATGGTATAAAAAAAGAATACAGAGCTGATTTTTTTTCATATGGTACATAATAACATTCCTGATAACTTTTATTAATAGGAAATGAAACTATTTTTCCGGATTTAAATCGCGTATATTTGCTTTTTCAAACAAACCGACGTTTTAGTTTATTCTAATTTCTATTAATAATTAATAATAAATTGAACTTAATAAAAATTCATTCAATAAAATAATTTGTAAAACTTTATATAGCGTAAATTGGAATGTTTTCTTTGTAAAATTAAAAATAAGGTATTTAATTAATGACTATTGTAACTATAGTGAAAAAATAGGGTGGTTTGCATCAATATTAGACATAACTGGTTGAGGACTGTACCACCTCAGTGAACCGTGACCATGGGATCTGTAAAGGGCCAGAAACGTCGGTTTGTTTGAAAAAACAAATATACGCGATTTAAATCCGGAAAAATAGTTTCATTTCCTATGTGTAACAATCGCGAAAACCTAAGAACTCGATAACTTTTACTAATTTCTTGAAAAGCTGATTGTTTCAGAAAAAAAAATTTAGTTTTTTGTTTGGAGTACTAAACATTTTATTTTTATCTCGAAATGTAGAAAAATGTAATGTGTGTGGTTTATTTACAGTATAGGCACAATCATTCTTTATCAAGAAAAAAATAATCCATCTACAGGTACATCTGTAAGTACCCACGCACATCACATTTTCATATATTTTGAGATAAAAAATAAAATGTATAGTTCTCCATACAAAAAATAATAATTTTATTTTTCTTCAAAACTATCAACTTGTCAAGAAATTATACAAGAATAAAAGTTGTTAGGAATGTTACTTATTATATATCACATAAAAAAAAATTTGCTCGATACTCCACAAGTTATTCCTATGTCCAAGAATAATCAATTTGGGCCCACTGTGCGCCGTTGTATTGGGCGTGTCGATGACAATAAAACAAAGAAGGGTTATCATGGGTTAACGTCAAAACGCTAGAAGTAAATATTGGTTCAGTGTAGATCTAATTATAGACTTAGCATGGAAAATGACATGTTTAAGGCAAAATTCGTAGGCGGCGACTTTAGTGGCAATTTATAGACACACTATGCTCAAGATAAAAACGTTAATTTGTACCATGTACATTATTGGGAACAAACAACTTATAATCAGAGATGGGTAATGGGTTAAAACTCAAGCAACCCGCCCGGGTTTTAACCCATTTCCGCCCAAGATCGTGAACGTGCGATTCAATTGTTTACGATCGATCTAAAGATTTTTATATCAATTTATTTCAATGCGATTTTCGGGTGAATCGATTCAATAGAAAGGTAAATCGACTCTAAATTAGAAAGCAATAAACATTTTGTAATAATATCATTAAATTTGAACAAAATTTCACTTACAACTAATATTTATTTGTAAACAGTTTTTGCCCTCGATTTCGGGGGTTTATAGGTTTTAACCCGATATAAATCGATTCAACCGTTAACAAAGCGTCGGGTTAAAAACCGGCCGCTTGCACGCCTCTGCTTATAATCTATTATATAAGTATACAATAATATATCTTTATCCTGTATGCATTCCATTATTATTATACCAATTGCGATTAAAGGTTCGAGAGTTGTTGTGCCTGCGCCCGCGAAAATTTCTAAAGTATTAGATTCCACCGCAGGGCACAGGTCTTCTCTAAGGAGAGCCATACTGGCCCAATACGGGCTCGGGATTCCACATGTTCTAGTTGGCATGTAGATGCACCGGATACAGCTAATTCCACATAAATGAAAAGCTTACAAAACACATTTAATATGTTGAATGTTAACGAAGCCGCAAAAAAAACATTGTACTTTTCTGTAAGCAACTACTGAAGAAACTGAGTAGGTACGTATTATATAAATAAAATATTAAGAGAGTTAATTACTACGTACTTAAAGCAGTATGTGTATTTCTATTAAAAATTCACTTAATTACTCGTTGTCTATGTGGGCAGGTAACATTTGTACATTTTCTACAAAGAGCATCAAACGACGCAGAAGCATGATCACAACGTTGGCAACAAAAACATAATATTACCATTATTATTTTACCGAATACCAACGACACAGTTCTCGCGTGATAACAATATGTAAACATTGGATGCGTCAGAACCACAATCTATACTTCCTTATTACATCGACGTTAATATATATTAATTGAGTGACGTGTGAATGCATGTACCTATACAGTTAAGATTGTGAATACATTTCAAATTTTCTAAAGTACATTCTGTCACCACAGTCGTGGTATACCAGCGGTTTGACATACCGCCTGTCAAGCATGTCATCGAACCTCTGAGCTTTTCGGAACTTATGTGCGAAATGTTAATTTGTTTACAATGAGCTTTTCGGTGAAGGAAAACATCGTGAGGACACCGTGAAGTTTCGGGTGGTCTGTGCCCAGCAGTGGAACTATATACAGGCTAACCATTATTAATACGTCTTGTTAATATTATAAAAATGCAACAAAAACTTTTTTATATATAACATCAAGTGACGGGACGATTAAGTCGAAGGCCTGATGGTAAGTAAGCTACACGCCTGTCTTAATGTATGCAATTATCAAAAGCGCGTAGTTTAGATAACAATATTGAAAAATATCTCACATTCAGTAATGAAGAAATTAAGCAGCGTCAGAGCCACCGTGTGCCCTGAGAACATGTAGTCGCCGCAAGTTCTGACGCCTCGCACGGACATACCGGCGCCACTCCATATGTCGTAAGCTTGCCGCAGCCGCCTGCCCCACACCGTCAGGTCATCGGCCGGCGGATACGACCGCGGTTCGCACTTCAGATGTGAGCCCGGCACCGATAGTGATGTGATCAGCATAGTGAAGCATCGCAGTAAAAACACAGTACCGGCTAATGCGAAGAAGCGCCGAAGTATTATGAATCTGAAGCAAGAAATTAATACTAAGATTGCATATTGCATATATACTCTTTTGCAAGTCTTATTGGTCAAATAACTGCTGGAAGTCTTATTGGTTCTGAAACGTTAGCTGTCCGATTTACGATTTCCGGTTTTAATTGCACTAAGAAGCCAATTGATAAATTGCTTACTATGAAAATTATACAAGGAGGTCCGAGGTAAAATGTCTATCTTCAGTTTTGGCTTATCAAGGCTTTTTTAAACATTTTGTTCACCATTTTTTCCAATGTCTTCTACTAACATTTATATGTAATAAATGTGATTTCATAGAAAAGTCATTGATAAATTCTAATTTTTTTTTATGTGTATAATACATAAAAAATATATTTTATATTTGCTTGTCTACATTATGCTTGAACCAAAGTATTTATACCCTTACAAATGCATTGTTTTAAATATGTGTTAGTGTAACAAACTTTCGAGACAATACAGAGTTCAATGACATATTATTTGCTGATCATGACTCCCATTGAGTAAATAATAAGATATTATAAAATCATACACACTTTACTAGAAACCTTTGTTATGATATCTTGACATAAACCTTATAAATCTTTTAAAGCCGCGATAAGATATTCAAAATTTTTCAATTTCAAAAATATATTTTGTTCTGGTAAATGGCAATTTAGCACAATGCAGTTCAAAATGATACCTACTAGGTCAACGTCAACCAATTACATTAATCGCAAAATAACACCATTGTGTTGTGATGTGTTGTCAACACTTTGTTTCAAAGGTGCAACACTAATAACAATTTACGATAATACAAATAAAGACAACCTTGATGGTCAAATGGGTTGCACACCGGTTTTCATGATGTCGCCATCTCTTAGGTTCCGGGTTCAATTCCCGGCCGGGTCAATGTAGAAAATTTTGTCTCTGATCTGGGTGTGTGTGGTACTATCGTTGTTTCCAATTTCCATAACACAAATTCTTTAATTACTTTGGGATCAGAGCAACAGATTATTATGTGATGTTGTCTAATACTTATTTAGAGGTTTATTTATAAATAAAGAAGGAGCTAAAGATGTATTGTTATGTATTCCAGTAGTAATGGTCAGGTTTACACCTTGTTTGTACTACTAGATAAAGATATAATATATATTTCTACTCTTATATATAGATAATATTATAAGAATGTTTAGTTTGTGCTTGTCAAACAATAAAACATACTAATTTATATTTACTTTGGTTTCCTCATGGACACAGGAACACACCTAGACCTGTTGCAAAATAGCTGTTGTTTGAAAAAGTACCATTTTGTGAAAGAATAATTTTCAAGATTGCAAAGGACACAAGCATTAGGGAATAAAAAATTAAGGAAAATTTTTAGTAAAAGATAACACAATTCTTAATTGAGCTAGTTTATAGGAAGTATTGAATTGAAAATGTATTTATTTACATTTCCGCAATTGCTGCCTACTTTCTACATTGGTTTACCTTCTTCAAATATCGCCACTGCAACACGAGTTATATGGCTCAAATTTTAATATTGAGTTACGCAAGAATAACTTGGTCATATTTATTTTATGAACTGTTTTTACCTGTCATATTCTGTAAATATGCAGCCAAATATAACACAAAAAGAAACTTACCTATGCTTATGGAAGAACAGTACCACAAGCCAAATAGCCATAAGAAGAGAGCCTGTTATCTCGCACATGTCGAAAGCCCAAGGGATGTGTGGCACATTGTCTAAGAAGAGATCTGGCAATGGCGGATATTTTTTCATGTCGGGCACCTTATCATGCACTATCACCATTACTACTGCCGTCACCCATGTCACTAGGAACACATAACCTGAGAGAAAAAATTGTAGTAATAATTCACAAAGGATGATATTACAACATATAATTAAAACTATAATTGATAAGAATAGAATAGAATAGACATTTATTGCAACACCACAACACATAGATACAAAAAAAAAACAAAAATTGATAACATTGAGACACAATAATTGAGAACAAACAAAACAAAAAGAAAAGAATTAATAAACAAAATAAAGAATACAATAAAAAAAAAACAAAATTCAATTAAAAATTAGAAGACAATGACATAATTAAAACAAGGAAAAGAATATTTATGAATGTCTTTAGAAGATTATAAGACATTGGATTTCCCTTGTTAGTCATACAATTCTATTTTAATCAGAAATTTAATAGGCAGTCAAACAAATCCAGTCCACTTTAAATAAAACATTAAAAATTGTAAAAGAGTAAGAATTTAGGTATCACTTTGTAGAAAATAAAACTGCATAAAAAAGGTTCACTGTGGTCTTGAATTTTTAATTTATTATCACCAAATCAAGGGTGACAGTGACTTTTTAGCATATTATTATATAGCAACTTATGTAAATAAGAAATTATAGTCGTCACAATGTAAGAAGCATAATTAGACAGCTACTGAAAGCGATAGTACATATTGAATGCAATCAATGAAACAGTAAACAAATAATTATGAACTATATAAAAAATATAGGGTTTTTTAAAGAAAAACATTAATTTTAGTGAGGCATAATACACGCAGAAATTCAAAAACAAAATGCAATTTTGAGTTTGTTCAAAACATATTACAAACAATTTTTTTTTAAATTTTTTTTGAAATTGTAATCAATTAATCATCAAATTTCATCAAGTCAATTCAATTTCACCTAATGACTTCAACTATGAGTGTGTGCGTTGTTATCATTATTATTTAAAAAAATATTTCCTTTTTGATTTTGATTTTGACTTCTCTGTCAACATGTTAACATTGATAATATGATTGACAATCAAATAATTATACATATAGGCGATACTAGCTCAACTGATGATTTTGGCCAATCTTCCAATAAAAGTGAATATTAAACTACGAAGTCTTTGTTTTTCTTCAGAATTTAGCTATTTAACTACAGGTTAACCTTATGAACTCTGTTAATGTAACTACTGGTGATCATTGTGATCAATTAAATACTTACTTATTACAAAAGCTATATTGCTTAATTGTTCTATCTAGAACTGAAAATTAATGACCCGAAAAATAATCGAAGCTACCACACTCATAAAATTTCAAATCAATTTCTCATGAGGATAGTTTAATATGGTAACTGATATGTTTTAGATCACATCCTTATTTACATTGCAATGGCAAGTGCCAAAAGGTGCATCTTATTTTGTAACTATATATATACATATATAAGTGTATGTTATTATAGAGTATTTTATAGAGTTTTTGCCACTCATAATAATGAGTGGCAAATACTTTGCTCATAATTACAAAAGATCATACTGATTTTGTCACAAATGAAATAAAATTTCCAACAGTAGAAGTGCTTAGTAATTGCACTAATTTGTAATATAATTCACTATTTAGACTGACAACAAGGGAAAGTCTTGGCTATAAACAAGTGTGATGAAATGATTTTTTTTCAGATTTAAATCATGTATATTTGTTTTTTCAAACAAACCAACGTTTCGGGGCCTTTACAGGTCCCATTCCAATTCATTTCCTATGTGTAACAATTGCAAAAACCTAAGAACTAGATAAGTGTGATGAACTTGGACTCCATGGACCTAGGACCATGAGGTTACCTGTATTAATACAATTCCATTGGCTGTTATTACAATACAGGGTTTTAGTAAGCGTTATGAATTAATTGTTAGGTTAAAAATACATAGCAAGCAATAAATTGATTACAAAGTATCACAAAGTTACCTAATGCAATGGCAGTTTTCCAAATCTCCGGTTTCAACTTCGAGGCCTTCACATCTGGAGTAAAATTTCCCACACATTCTGTATTTCTTTCATACGAAAGTTCATTAGGTAACTTGTGAAGATTATAACTTAAGTGAGATAAATTAGTGCCAAGGAAGTTTATGTTCGTAGCGGGGTTGCTAAGCATCTGCTCATCGCATAGGCCGAGCTCTGTCATCGCATCACGATTACATCTTTGCAGCTTCTTCACCAACAATATGAATCGTTTTCGCTCACCAAGTTTTAAGTGGTCAAATGGGTACTCATAGAAATCTCGATCAACGAAAGATAAAAGACACTGGCCGTCTATATCATGGGCCCTACAAATATCTACAACAACACTGGATATTTTCTCTCTAAGTAATAAATCTAACACATCTCTGTTACTCCACAAAAGGATATCATTTTCCATTATGATGAAATAATTTAAATTTCTAAGTTAAATGCTTCTATAATTTCTCTTAATACTGTACAATTTAACAAACTGGAATTATTGAGACAAACAAAGGCACACTGCCAATAACGATCACTAAACTGTGTATTTATTTCTCAAAAATCCATGTTGAAGTGTGTGAAAATGATACATTGTCTTTTTTATATGACAATGACACATTGTAAAAATGTTGCTATATTATATTTTTATATTCTTATTTTTGAGCCATAGACATTTTATAAGTCTGTGTTTTGAGCTTTTGGCATCACTTTTATTAAGTGTTTTCTTCTTTATTTTTTTTCCATCCTCTAACACCCGTATTCTTAAACGTGTCCTCTAGGTTTCCTCAAACTCAACCTCACCTGAGGTGTCCTTAAGGAATTCCTCAGCACTTCGTCGAAGTCGGGCGTATTCCAAAACTCTAATCTATGCTCAAGTCCGGACTTGTGTATGATTTAAAGCACTAGAAATCATACTTTATATAATCACATACTTTATATAATCATACATGTGAATGCTGGCAGGGTGCAGGCTGAGGCAGCTATTATTTCTGCCAAAGCAGATGATCTGCATGCCCAATCCATAGCTGCCATTTGCAAAGCAATTACCGAGTTGGTGTCCGCAGTTAACCTTTTTGATAGAATATTTAACAAGAATGACAGCTTTGTTTTCAACATGTTTTCTTAATTCCTGCTGATGATATGTTCAATTGTGGAAATCTGAAAGAGCGTGAGCAACGAAGGTCTAATCTGTAGACTTTTGTCACCTTTATATTTCCACAGTGATATAAACATTTTTTTAAATCTATTTTGAAAAGGCCCATAAACATCCTGGTGTTTATGTTGGCTTCATACTGTATCTAAATAACTACCCATCCTGCTTTATCTGTCACTACTCTCATGAGAGGTATTGCTCTTTATCAGAAAGCAAGACCCCACACAGGAGTATAGAGCTTCACCACCCTTCATCATTGGGTGGCTCAGTCTTAAATTTAGGTCTCCAATTTTACTATATACATATTTTTGTTTCAGACTTCTTTGAAGAATAAAAAGCAAGATCGCTCTGGAAATGAAGGATGATTTGGGGTAGATTGAGGCAATAAATAAACTAAAAATACAATACACTTTTTTATTTCAACCTCTTAAAAGTATACATCAATTTAGATATTAAGGTAATAAACAATTACAATAGGTATACATTGTCATTTTAGAATGAATACCTCATATGGGATTTCTATGTAATTTTTCAGGATGAAGATAAAAATATGGTGTAAAGTATAGTAAATGCAATAATGTGTGTAGTTAGCATTTTAATTACTTAAATTATACCTCTTTTAGATACTATATTATTACATTATTAATTTTTATTCAACAAAAATCAGTAAAAACAAACTGTGATAATGCATATGTGAGGCTTCACTGTAAGGGGACGATATGTTGTATAAAGTCAAGTGTTAAAAGAGATAATTGTAACCTTTTAATATCTTTTTATACAACTATACATATTTTAACTATATCTGTCATTTTTATTTGATAATAATAACAGAAAATAAGACAAAAACTAAGAAAGATGATGTACATTGTAAAGCTTATTTTCTCACCGCCTTTTAATACCATCCCTTTCGGCATGCCTTTTAGGAAAGCTGCATATTCATAATAACTGGTTTATTTTAAACAGCTACCGCTTGTGCCTTACTGACACTGGCTTGGGAAAGGGTGATAAGCACTGTTGCCAATGGGGGTCTGGTACGACGCAGTAGTCAAAAACAATACAAGCTATTAAAATCTGTAACAAAATTAATAATGATTTACACAGTATAGAAATTTGGTTATTATGCAAAACTGAGAACTATCGAATTCCACTTAACCCTTACCTTTGTCTCCACATCCAAAGCAACAGACCTTTAACGGGAATATGTAGGCATAGTTCTTCCACCAATCCTGAAATGAATTCTGTGGACAAACGGTATATCGTTTGCGGAATTTCTCCTCAGACATGTTAAATGTGATCGTCTTTCTATGCTTTTCTTTTACTTAAAGCCCGTTCTTAGGCCACATCCACCTCAGAAACACTTTCCGAAACATTTAAGTAACCGTGGAACATTTTTAATATACAAAAAACGTAGTGAAAAGTTACTCTCCGTTAACTGCCACAGAAACGTTAACCTGTCAAAGGTAAATCCATTTCCCCAAGGATACATAAGTGGTTAAAACGTTAAAATATTTAGCGCGATACCAATTGGCAACGTTTTAGGTTTTGGTTTTACCTATGACAATTAGTGCGATACCAAATGTGCGTAACGTGACACACGTCTAACGTTTCCTTTTTGATTAGCTTTGGTTTTTGTTTTGACAGTTAGCGCGATACAAAATGTACGCAACGTGTCACATTGGCGAGGTTTAAGGTTTTGGTTTTACCGTTGACAATTAGCGCGATTGGCCCCCTCTACTCAATACTCAAGTCAGGACTTGAGTATTGCAGTGAGCACTGAAAATCATTCTCAAATCCTTGCCATTAGGGTCGTATTTCCAGTGCTTGAAATCATACTCAAATCTGCTCAAATACTGACTTGAGCATTGAGTAGAGTTCTGGAATACGACCCTTAGCATGCTTGTCTATTAAATCCAAGGTGGACTGCCACGCAGAGATCCCAGGTTCGATTCCCGGCCTGGGAGAAATATTTCTATGGTCTACATTTATTTCTCTCTTGAGTTTGGGTGTAATTTATGGTTGTCTATGTGTGTATCCATGGCACCCGCGGCACAGGGTTTCCCTAGTGCGGGGCTATGTTGAGTGTGTACGTTGTTATTATTATTATTATAATTGTTATAAAATATTGATTGCAAAGATAATCCAGAAACCTTTATTGGCATATTCTAAGCGCCTGAATAAGTATTATAGCAATTACACGGAGAAAATAAACTGTCTTTTTAGTAGATAACTTTTGCAAAGGTTAAATAACTATTTATAGAAGCTTCTTGTAATAGTAAAAAAAGTATGTTTAGGTAGAAATTTGGTAGTAAATAGTTATATAAAAAAAGTAAATTATATACTGCTAGAACTATTGACTTACAATAGAACCATGAAAAACGTAAAGTGGTCAGCCAACCTGACGTCAGAATGGCTGGTCACTTTATTTTATTAAAATTCTAGAAAATATGTCAATAAAGGTGCTAAATAGTAGCAAATAGGTAGTAAATAATGGGCACAGTTTGGTTTGTATATCTCGTTTGGTCCAGCCATCCTGACGGACACCTCGTGCTGCTCGGAAATTGACGCTTCCATTCCATTCTATTCCGCCGCAATGTAATTTGAGCCTTACGGTTGCCACCGCTCAGCCATCGACTCTCTCCACTATCAAATCTCCACTTTGGTGGCGGAGCTGTCGGCACACTTACCTCCCGAAGCCGAACGCCTACACCTACACGGCTGGAGGATATCTAGCTCAACCTCTACTCTCCGGGCTAGTGTGCAGCGTCCTGTGATAATATCCGGACATAGCTTCAAACTTAAAGGGCCTACCCACGTGCCCCGCGCGTTTCCTCGCCTTACCGGGCAGACAAATGTGTCCATTATACACATACATACATACAGTTAACCACAAAACCCTAGCGAGTCCATAGCCATGTCCGGGTTAGTCAGAGACGCCCGTGAGGGCCATATAACTGGCGGAGGACTTAGCCCAGATGCCCACCGTACCTTGGACTTACCGGGGAGCCCGTAATCTCGCCTATCCATCGGGTGAGTAGATTCCAGTGTGGACAGTCACATATCTTTCTACATCATTTTTGTTTATAGTGACCCTCCCTATATCAACCTCTTGGTTATACGGGAATGGACTATAACCTGTGCAAACAAGCTTGCACAGAGACCTTCTCAGTCAGGTCCTGTCCCCAGATCAGCCCGTTTGCACAGACTTCATCTGGTTCTCAAAAGGCTAGTGCCTTTAGCCGTGCCGGGTGAGCTACTCTGGGTACAAGTACAGCCGCCTCCTATTGTCCAGATAAGTACCGGAGCTGTTGGCACATACACTTCCCGTTACGCATTGCGCAACTACGGTTGCCACAGCTAAGCCGTTGACTCTAAAGTCCACTAACAAATCTCCTCTTTGATGGCGGAGCTGTAGGCACGCTCACCTCCCGACGCCGAAACGTCTCTCCAGTTCCCAGAAACCTACGCAACTGGAGGGACCTTAACAAGGATATTTAGCTCATCCTTTAAGCTCTTCGAGCTAGTGTCTGAAATGCCGGTCGCAGTGTCCTGCAACAATGTCCGGACATATTATCTTCAAACTTAAGGGCAAACCACAAGCACCGCGCGTCTCTCGCCTTAGGCCTTCGTCTAGACTGCTGCTAAGACGTGCTAGCTGCGGGCGGGATAAACGCTCCCGTCACATGCTTTCGGAGCAGACGAACGTGTTCATCCTTACAGCTAACCACAGACCTGGCGAGTCCACACCCAAGTCCGGGTCCACCAGAGACGTGACAGTCAGGATGTATATATTCAAGAATTGCTACCTTTTCTAAATAATTGCTACCTATGATATATTCTTAGAAATTTAAAAAAAATTTTGACCAGCCATTCTGACGACAGGATGGCTGGTCGCCTCTTTGTTCAGCACGAAGGGAGCAGATTTTCCAGAAGTATGTATTACCAATAATTGCTACCTTCACGAATTAAAGGTATACGCTTCATATCTACATTAATTAAAAACATATAACCGATTGAAAATTTTGCGAAAAAGTGCCTGACTAAACTAAAAAAACATAAGTTTTTAGTGCTTTATTGCCATAATATAAAGGGCAGGCGTTCAACAATTACTTCGAAGCGAACTAGTCTGGTGAGATTGCTAATGTATATAAAGCCGAGAGGGTAGGTAACCATCATAACGCAATATTAACAAATAATTTTGTTGTAATTATATATTTGTTAAAAAATTGTATAGTTTTAATTTTTTAGCAAAAGTATGAACAAAATCTTTATCGTAGTTTGTTACAGTGCACTTACACGGGGTTATTTTATTCGAAGGCCAGTTAATTATAATTTTTGTGATAGCCTCACATTTTTTGCAAATTCCATTGCACGTTATTTTATTATTCGTAGAAACTTCGTAGAAATAGAATACTGTTTAAATATCCAACTGTGTGCAATGGGTGAACCTCCCAAATCTTTTCGCGCAAAAGATGGGCACACTGATGCTTAGGCAAGCGATGTTTCATTCTAAATACAGTCTCAACTCCATGATTTAACTTTATACGTTTACTTAACGGTTGCATTCGTTCCCACAGATGGGTATCAACAATAACATTATAAATTACCTACTGTTTTACTGATTGCTACTTCGTCCTTGTATTCCTTTTTTGATTGATTATCATTAGACAGAATTTTGATTTGATCTTCATAACGAACAGCAGCATTATCAGGGCCACTGAAGAAGTCGAAATTTTTCTTTACAGAAAGATATAGTGCCTGTGTGGAAATTTTATGTCATAAAAGGGTACTAATTTCACTAAACAGTGGATCGTTAGGCGGCGGTAAATCAAATTTACTGGAAAAAGACTTTTTGCAGTAATGCATTTTTTTGCTCATCGAGTGGCACAACAAACTTCCTCCCTCTTTTCATTGTCACCAAACACTACTTAAACCAGAAACATAAATATTAAACTGGATATTAGCAATAGCAAAACCTTTGAATCCTCAGATAAAATAAACTAAAACAATTTGATCCACTTATGACAAATGACACACATATTGCGTTATGATGGTTACCTATCCTCTTGGTTTTATACATCAGCAGCCTCACCAGACTAGTTCGACTCGTACTAATTGTTAAACGCCTGTCCTTTATATTATGGCAATAAAGAACCAAGAAGAACAGCCATCCTGACGTCAGAATGGCTGATCAATTTTTTTTTAATTTCTGAGAATATATCACAGGTAGCAATTATTTAGAAAAGGTAGCAAATAGGTAGCAATTCTTGAATATACACTCGGTGCCAGACACCACAGGCGACCAGCCATCCTGACGGTCACACCAGAGACGCGCGTGAAGAAGTGGACAGTAAAATCATAGTATATTAAACCAAATAGAGTGACTCCATACATAACGTTGCAGCGCGGCACACATTATATTCCAATATAACTTTTGAATTGGCTAAATGACAACTTTTTTAGGTACAATCCAATAACATCAGATCTAATCTTGAGGTTCTAATCTAATCGGAGAGGATCTAATCTTTAATTAAGTCGAGACAAGTTATTAAATTGCAAAATATTTTTATTTTCATTATTTAATAATCAAACACGGTGCATTAATTAGTAATACAAATAAAACAACAGCGATCATAAACCAGCAACACCACTCTATCGCTATGACTTGATCTTAAAATTTAACAAGTTCCATCGCAAACGCTCTTCACCTTGAGAAATAATTGAAACAAGTTTGTTCACCATAAAACTTAACAGTGAGTGAACTACAACTAAAAACATGGATAAGATTGAAAATATTTAAAAATTGCCAAGAATTATAAAAAGATTTGGCGGAATAATAACACAGAAATTAACATCGTCTCCCGTTGGGATGATAGCTGCTATAATAGAATATCTATAACCATTTTTTGGATCAACTTGGAGTCACAACAACAAATAATAAACATTGGTCTCATTTAGTACATAGTAATGTTTTACTGAACTAAATTTAAAGACTTTTCGTCGCAGTATCACCCGTATTATTTTGCTTTCAAGCAAACATTATTAATGTCACAGTTTACAATTTTAAAGACTAAATTACGAATAACTTTACTAACAAGATTTTACAATTGAAAGCGCACGCTAAAGTGTGTTTAATATCTAAATACACTTAATATCTAAAATGCAAGGCAATAAATGTGTTATGACAATTTGTACGAAGCGATTTAGAGGCCTTTTTAATAGTTGTAGTTGAATTTCATCTGCAGGAGGTACTTGATGTTGATTTGTGCCACGTCGTATACGATAAATCTGTGAGGATGCTGAGGAAATTATTGTCTTTATAGTTCTAAGTGCAGGTTTATAAACAGCAAAAGAACAGAATATACTTAACGCTAGGTCCTAACTTGTGGACGTGCGCGCGAAATACCACCATAGGTGAAATTGGGTCACCTTCGGACCTTTTCCAAAAATACAATATAGGATTAATTTTGATTGTTCTGTGTCAACCAGTATGCTTAGCATGAACCCAAACTGTCAATTTTGTCTTAAAAATCACACGTTGCCGTTGTGGAGAAGTGGTCCTTTTTAATTGTGGTCATTTCTCATTGTGACCCCAAACCGCCGAAAGGCTCCGTTGGGAAATATATCGGATTTGTAGTGGTTGTTCGTTCTGTGCTTGTGTGCTTTTGGTGGTTTTGGGTTCAACAAAAATTATATGGCCAAATAATTACCATTGGCGAACTACACAATGACTTGTTTAAATGTAGTGGCTGTTTAGCCATTATAATATTAATCTGTAAAATTTTATTAAGTTATCGAATTTGCCTTGTATTTTAAAATTTCTCTTTTTCAACTTAAATATATACCCACATATATAAAACGAAATTGTTATAAACGTAATGACTGTGTGATGTCCAAATGAACTTTAGCACCAACATAATTATATAATGTAATAAAGTCAATTATATAAGAAAATCATTAACTTTCTTTTTTTACCGATTTAGTAATAATCGTCAAGAATAATGTTAAATATAACGACAGAAATGAGTAAGGGGACCTAATATAGCCCTCAATGAGATCATTGATTGCGTCCATTTATACATATATTATCGTTACCGACTTAGTGCAGCAGTAACAAATGTTATAAAAAAATGTAATAATATAAGTAGAGAAATCTTTGGTTACAGTGAAGATCTTCTTTTCGTGTCATCCCGTGCTTTGAGTAGCGCTGTCGGTGAGAAGATTAAAAGTCTCTCGGGGCGCACGAGTATTATTAATTTCTCCTCACGCAAAACCTAAGATATTATTTGGTATTATTATAAAAGGATACTCGTTATAAAGCAGCCCCGTGTTAATGTCCTTGTCGACGGGTTTGCCGAGCGGGACGATAACGCCATCGTCGAGAGTGCGCGATGCTGTTGGATCGGGCTCCGTGCGACCCATGCCCCACGTCGAGTGCAACCCGCTAGGGAGCTTCGTAATCATCTCTGCGTTAGTGCATTTCTTCCTGTTTCAAAGTAATACGCAATTATGAATTCATCATCTTATAGCAAGATGGTACAAACAAATTATGAATTACGAAACATAAAATATATCTTGCCAAATATTGTTGGGCATTTGGGGGCAATCTATTATGATTTACAATAGTCGACGGTCTTTCCCTGGATTTTAACCCTGAAACATTATAACCACGTGAAGGTGGGTGAGCAAAACCAATGTGTTTGTGCCTGTAAGAAGACTTGCGCAACTGTAATATTTTGTAAGTACTCTACAGGACGAAGCATTTTCAGATATTTACATTTCCCCAAGTGCTACTTCACACAGCAACATGATTCCGATAGGGTTGTTTCTGTTGGTGCAGCAGTAGTTGGCCGACTTGGACACCATATCGGCGAAGTACACGCCTTTGCCGAACATGTAGCCTGTCGCTGGTGCTTCTGGCGGCGCTATGCGAAGACCTGATAACGAATTATTACACCACATTACACATGATGATGAGTACGCGAATGTGTATATGTGAAAATACATGTTATGTGTAATATTATATCAAGAACGTTGTCTCTTTTGAATCATCAATGGATGTGTCTATTTGCAAATCGATTATAATTTGCGTCAAAAGTCGAAACTACCTTGTGACAGGATCCCGGCGAAGTTGGTAACGCGGGAGCCGTGCCAGAGCAAGCGACGGTTGTGCAGCTTACGGAATGGTTTATACCGCTTGTTCTCGCCTTCACGAATTACCTTGAAAACCTGAAAAATGTTGGTTAGAAGACATTTTCTTTGGAACAAAATGCTAGTTGCTATGATGTCATGTGACATTCACACGAAGCAGTACCGGGTATATAATACGTGGAGATTAAGAAATTTAGCTATTGTTACCTAATTGTAACTTACTAAAGTTATTAATAATGACTTTATTGTTCACACAATAGAGATGTAGCGTAAGCTTGAGATGAAGCTAATGCCTTCGAAACATTATCTATAGTTAGTTACCTTTTGAGAGCTGAAAATTGTTTTATAGGTTCATTTAGTTATTATTGGCTATTCGTTTACAGTGTGAGTGACATAATTTTTTTAAATATACCTGTTCAATTTCTAGCTTGTAGTGGGAGTGCGTGGCGGCATGTGTGTTTTCGGTGTATTCGGCAATCATTTGGAACTCGGGGCTTTCGCGAGGCAGAGGTGCAATCTCCGCCTTCAGCCTTAGGTAGTGCGCGTTTATTGGCGATGTGCTCTTGTTATCATAATCTTAAATGTATAAGAGATATAAGATATTGTTCGAAGCTTAAATAACTATAGTATATCAAATTTACCCGATATAGAGCGTTGAAATTAATATACAAAATATTAAATGTGCCTGTTTACTAATCACCGTTTTAACACTTACAATTTAGCTGAATAAGTAATCGACACACGGGTTATATATAATACGAACAGATATCCTCCATTTTATTGCAGAGTCGTACGTACGTACGTGTACTTCACGAATGTATTTTAGTGTGCACGGATAAAGTAGAAATAGCAAATGCAGCGTCTAAAATTTTGGCTTACCTGAATTCAACAAGTTATAAGCTATCTCAATTTCTAGGAGATTATCGAGCATCGCAATCTTCTCCTTAACGGTTTCAACGTTGTTCAATAGTGGAGCGTTATTTGTGCCGAAGTCGTGGGGTATCATAGTGAAAAATCTGTAACATAATTACGTATGGCGATATACTTGCAATGGCGATGTTTTTTTAAAGAAAATCAATAATAACGGAGTAAATAATTACTATACTATTTACTCCGTGATAATACTATATACCTATTAGTAGCATCGATGATGTTGTTTTCATTAGCATTTCCCTTCTCGATGTATCCCAGTAATTCAGACAGAACTTTGTATGCACTTTTGATCTGTTTTTTGGAGAGCTTACCCAGCGGCATCTTTTCTGTGTCCAACTGAAATAATTTCACTATGACAAGGTGTTATGTCATTATCATATAAGTTAATGTGCAGTACCGCGTGTTATTAAAATCTTAAACAATTAAGACATTCTATGAACCATTGTTGTTTTAACATTTTTAAAACAGTAAATAAATATTATGTCAATAAAAGTGAATATATGACAAGTCAAACTGTTGTTCAGTATTGCCACTGGGTTACCTCAAACTCAAGCAGGGTCTTTTTCATGAGGTTGATGTCAAAAATGTTCAAGATAAGTTTTTGAACGGGAATGGGCAGGTCGCACTTCTCATCCAACTGCAAAGACGACCCGTCGGTGTCGTCGCCGTAATCCATTTCTACTGGGTAGTACGCGTTTGGCATCTGTGTCGAGATAAAAAAAAATGTTTCTCTAATCCCACCAATTATATGGTCACAGACAAAATAATTCTCTGTACTAAAAATTCAGAGTAATTCCGAGAGGCACTACCCGAAACATCCCCAGCACAATCAATTTCAACCGAAACTGCAGTTGGGTTCGTTTCAAGTAGATTAAAATTTAGAATTAAACTCGTTACACCATTTGAACCGTAATTACTGAGCTGCAAATTCTGGAAACTTTCACAAACCTTGGCCAAGAGCGACCTCGCAAATCAGAATTCAAACCAAAAAAGTATGGAACAATTTCAATAAAGATTGTCTTGATTTTTGCAGTGTACCTTGACGAAGTTTGCACGGTTATGCCATGAATTTTGTGTCTTCTCCATGTAAAGGTCTTCAAACCTTATCTTGGCTTTGTCGAGATTGTTGCAGTCTTCTAATTTAGTGCCGCCGATTGAAGTTCCAATTCTTCCCCAAGAGCGGAAGAGCCAATATCTAAAAGCAAGTAAAAATAGATTACTCTCTTAAATGACAAAAAAATATTTGCAATATATTTTTTTTGCAATGGATATGCTTATAAGCATGAACTTGAGGAGCTTCCGTAGGTTGGAAAAATAATGCAAGACCACAAAACCAACAAACGACATGAAGTTATTGATATCTTAAAAATTAATACAATTGCAAAATATTTTTTTGATATATGATATTATATTTAGTTATAGATATTTTTAAATAGTATCTTCCAATTTGTAACAGGTTATCTGGGTTTCTCTATATAAAAAAATATATGTATTATGAAACATTATACACGTTGCTTTGATTCCAAAGTAAGTAAGTAAAGCACCACACACACCCACCCAGACCCGAGTCAATATAGAAAATATCATTTTCTACATTTGTTTAGTTGTGATTCGTTGTTTAAGTAATAAAATTACAGTAGTGTATATCTTACTTCTTGAAGTTATCGGCCTCCAGAATTTGAAGTTTGTAGTAAGAATTCTTTTGCGAAACAACGTCAGTTAAGGAGAGCACTACGGAGTACTTGTTGCCGAATTTATCAATGTATACGTGTGCTACGTCTTCTAACCCGGAGTCAGTGTCGACCGCGGAGCCACCTGGATAATATTTTATGGGTTATTTTAGCTGTCGCATTACAATAAGTTAAGAAACAATGTTACATAGCAATATAACGTAGTTAACCTTCCTTACATACAGCGATTTAGCACGGGTGAAATCACATTTAGGTTGATTACAAAATAACAAATAATAAGATACATTATGGTTTAGGTCAGGGGAGAGGAAGAGTCTAAAATAGTTAACCAAAATAACAATAATACGTGCCAGACATACTAAATTAAAGGAATTCACACTAACACTGGCTGCATATATGTATAGAGCTGTTTTGTAAAGCATTGATCCAAGAGATGCTGCGTCACAGGTTGTAAAAAAAAGAACCATTTACCTTTAATTTTCAACTTAGTTGATGTAGATTTCGACTTTACGTAAAGACTACCGGACTTAGGAATTGACTTTCCATCAATAATATCTTGCGGTACACGAGTAGCTGGCTACAAAAAACATAAATAATTTAATAAAAATGGAAGTAAATTAATTTGCTACTCCGCGAACCCAGAAGTGTTTCTTCTTAGAAATTGTTTGTTCGTGACCGTCAGGATGGCTGGTCGCCTGTGGCGTCTGGCACTGAGTGTATATTAAAGTATTGCTACCTTTGATATATTCCAAGAAATTTAAAAAAACAATTGACCAGTGATTCTGATATCAGGAAATTTTCAATCGCTTATATATTTTTTAACTAATGTAGTTAAGAAGCGTATACCTTTAATTCGTGAAAGTAGCAAATAGGTAGCAATTATTGCTAATACATACTTCTGGAAAATCTACCCCCTTCATGCGGAACAAAATGGCGACCAGCCATCCTGATATCAGAATGGCTGGTCAATTATTTTTTTAAATTTCTCAGAATATATTAAAGGTAGCAATTATTTAGAAAATGTAACAATTCTTGAATATACACTCACGTTTCCTGAGGATGCCTCGTGGAGAGGCGAAACACGTGTTGGGTATATTTTTGGTGGTAGGGTCTGTGACTGTAGTTGTGCTTGTGTTACTTATTTGATTAATCTCATGCGGAGGGAGGGTGGGAAAATTAACTGCATGAAAAAATATTCAATAAGAGCACAGCTATTTTGCATGATTTAAACTTCACTGGATTCGTGGAGTAGCAAATTAATTTACTTCCAATTTTATTAATATGACATCTGCAAAGTAACGCCTGAATCTACTAATTACACAAAAATAATTTAAAAGAAAAATAATTTGGTTGCAGGTGCATATTTGTCATAAAACAACTCACGTCGGATCCCCAAGGCGCGATATTATTTTCTTTGATAAGTTGCAATGTTTGAGCTATTGTACCATTGACAGGGTCTATTAAATCCAGAAATGATTCCTCTACAACCTGCAAAAACAAGGGAATTAAATGAAAACACAACGAACCATTTGTTACACAAAAATTTCACTTCTATGAGTAATAACGCTTTGCCTATTTGGTAGAACATTATCTTCAGTTAGGTGGATAACTACACTTTAGTCGTAATATAAACAGAGCGTAGGCAGCCTAGTGGCAAAGGGTTTCTTCGAGTCATGAAGCTATGACTTTAATTTCTAAGTAGCGTTTATTAATGTATAATGTTTATATAGTAGCAACGCCTCTCCCTGACGGTGAAGGAAAACGTAGCGCCGAGACCTGCACGTGAAAGAAGGTCCTTAGAAAACGTTTGGAGTGTCCAACCTGCACTGCATTTACATGAACATTTCTCATTAAATATCGACTTCTTAGGTTTTCGCGATTGCAACACTGGACATTATACAATATTTTTCCAGATCGAATCAGCCGTGACCTGGCAACCTGTAAAGAGCTCGAAACGTTCCCTTGTTTGAACAAACAAATGTACGCGATTTTAATAGCAGTCATGGTCACTGGTTAGCAGTAGTTTTTTGTGAACGAGTTTGTCCCTGCCACCTTAGCTACATATTTCTGCCGCTATGCAGTAATGTGAGCATTACTACTTAGCTATTATTATATAATGGTTACATACCTCTATGTCTTTTTCAGTGATTAAGTCGTATACTAATGTGTTTTGAGATCCTTGTGACATTTTCTCCACATCTTTTGGAGTTGCAATGACTGCAGCAGTGGTATCAGTTATATTGGCCTTGTTCAGTACTAGACCACCCAGTCGTAGTATGCGTTTCTTCACTTCATCTTTGTTATTAAGTACGCAAAATTGTAAATTTTTTAGAGGTGGAATTGGTATATTTTTCCTTTCTCTAAAAAAGATGAATAATAAAATTAATCTTTTCAATACCATAATGGTCAGCGTTATTTTTCTTTTTTTAGATCCTACTTTTCAAAATACTGTAGTTTTGCATATTAACTTGATTAATTGACATTCGGGAGCGACAATTCCCTGCCCGCACACCTGGGCAAAATGATTGGTCGAAAGTTCTCTCTCGCACATTACATAAAACTATTGAAGTAATTCTGAGTATGTGATGAGTGCACTAACGAAATACTTACTGTGGTTCCGCTTTCTTAACAATAGTAGCGACAGGCGGCGGCGCGCACTCGAACAGCCTGGTGTCAGTTTTTGGCCTAAACTTCTTAAATGCATCGCTCGATTTAAAGTTTTCAGGCACCTTCATAGACTTTCTCTTCGGCTCTCTAGTTGTGAATCGACATTTAGTCCACTCGTTCATGTTACCTGACAATCAATGACTGCCTCATTTACCAATAAACACGCTTAATTCGCAACTACTGCACATAACATTCGGGCTCTTGCGCAAGGATAAACTTGGATGGACATTGCCCATTTTACATTTTATGCTAGACAACTTGCGCGGGTCCCTCTTCACGCAACAGACGTAATCATAGCAAGCTTATATCTAACAGGGTTGACGGAGAAGCGACGTTCAAAAGTAAAATCTAGGTTCCTCACACTGAGGGGTATCCGTATCATCCCATGTATGTTGCGTGATTTTTCGTAGTTTTCGAGTTATGATATTTTCAATGGATTTTTGGAAATTTACAACCAGTTCAGCTCTAAAAGAATTTTTTTTTTCAGTTTGTTAAAATTTTTTGGGGATTTGTTTTGTAACTCAATTTGTATGAATTGTACTTTCACGCATAAAATAATCAACTTCGTAACATCAATTAAAGCTACGAAAATTTTAAAAGTGGGAATTCGCGACCGAGTGAGTCAAACTAGAATTTTCAACTGAAAATTAAAAATCTAAAAATGTGATTCCATAGTTCTTGGGTAATTTTAAAAACTGCGCTAGACTCTAAATTTTCATAATGCTATTTTTTTTGTATTATTACAATAGTATTATTCTGTGGAATCAGCCTTTTAATTCACTAAAAAAGATTGGTTCACCATGTAAGTGTGCTTGTTCAATCGGTCTTCTTATTACACCCTATAAAATACCAGTATAAAAGTAACAAAATTACCTGTGCACTTGTAGTTAAAAGTATCTAATATCAGCTGGCCTTTGCATTCCGGACAGGGCTCCAATGCTCCGAACGCCATCATGTCGGCAACGCGATCAACGCACTAAAAATTTTAAATGATTAACAAAAGCAATGTATGTTTAAATTGTAATCATCATCAACCCTTTTATACGTCTCACTACTGGGCACGGGTCTCCTCATATGCGAGGGGTTAGGTCATGGCCCAGCACGCCGACTAATGCGGGTTAGGGACTTCACTCGTTTACAGACGATTGTGAACCTTCTTCGACGTGCAGGTTTCATCACAATGTTTTCTTTCACCGAAAAGCTCATACTAAATTATACATATAATACAAATAGAATTTAAAAAAAATGTCAGATTTCGCCATACAGGCAAGAATCGGACCTAAAATTTAGTTTAAATATCTATTATTAGCCTGTACAATGGAAATAAATGGTTTAAATAATACTATTAATAAGTAATGTATTATAGTATATTGTAATAAGTAATAAATTATTATTGGACCCAGACATTATGGCGTAAGAATACAAATTCAACGTAATATCACTTAATGCAACAATGTTTTTAATTTCACTAGGAATGAAAATCGTTCGAATACAGAAACAGATGATAAGCATCTGGGTAGCTTGAGCCGCATTAAGACTGCACTGGTCATGAGGTCAGTAAAACAACAAGGAAACCACATTATTCCAAACCACATTAAAACATTAGCACTAGTCGGGTCATTAAGTCTGTTTATGGTGTAGAGACTGATTGCAAATAAAGGCAAGTATGAAAACAGTCCGCGACATGTGAAGGATTTAATAACTTACATACCTCATCAGGTGAAAAAACTACTTCTTGCGCATTAGCCTCCATCAACTTCTGAAGATCAGATCTGCTGTACTCCTTCAGTGCAGCTCTGTACTTGTGATACAATTTGTCTTGCTTCACTAATTTCTTCTCCAGTTCTTTTTCTTTCTTTATTTCATCCGCGTCTTTTGGTTCAGGCTTAACTTTTTTCACTGGCACTTCATCTGAAGCCTTTGGTCTGAAATTAAAAACGATGTTGTTAATATACATGAAAATTACCCATTATTATTTACATGTCAACCTTTTTGAGAGCATTTGTAAAACATAAATGATGTAACCATTCTATTAACTTACGGTAACTCACTCTTCACAATATTTTGGTCATCTTTCTTGAGCTGCTTGAAACCAGGGAGGCTATCTCCTCCAGCAAAGTAGCCTAATGAGTCTCTCTCAGCAGCAAAACATTGCACATGGTACCAATAAGGCTGACCACCATACTTCATTCCAACTTCAGTGTCAAACATTATCTTGCAGATTCTCACGTCGTCCTAAATGATAAGGATAAAAAATTAATTTAGTTGTAGAAAATAACAGGGGCCTTACCATAAACTCTTATTACGATTCAGTTTAGGACCTAAAATGATTCGTTGTGATACAGCGCTACATGAAGTGTATATCACCATCCCGCTTTTTTATCATTACAAACCTATTATACTGAACTCTAATTTTCATGGTAAGGCCCCAGACCAGTTCATCAGATACTTGCGCGGAATGATAATCGCTAATAAACCGCGATCTTAATTGGGACACAAGACACAACATTATTATGTAACTTTTATTTACTAATAATATTACTTTTCAAAGCTTTAGTTTTTATGCATGTTCTGGATGTAGTCTTCGTAATTAACTGGTGCTAACCGTTTTGATTCTTTACATACAATATAATGTTTAATTATTGGTAATATTTGTAAATGTTATTAGTTTAAAATTTGGGAGGTTACATACTGGTTAATATAAATGTAGTGATTTTGGTCTTGAAATGTATTTGCCCATATTTTAATTTAAAAAAAAAAAGTTTTTTACATCTCAATGTTGTGCTTCATGCTAGATGCGTTTGCGTATCATCGTATCTCGTAATTATGTACATCTGATATTTAATACAGGATACGAATATTTAGTATTATAAAGTTACCTTACAAATCTTAATTTCACAGTGCCTGCAAATGGCCCTGCTGGACTTTGAGTATTCCACCTTGAAATCTTTCAAAGCTGCATTGTCGGGTTCAGCCGCTCTCTTCTTTCTACCTTTGCCTTTCACCACTGGTAGAACAACACCAGTGCAGCTTTCTGTTAACAATGCATGCTTTTTAGAACAGATTATAGGTAATATATAATAACTGCCTCCGTGGCCGAACGGTTACCTTGCCGGACTGCCACGCAGAGGTCCCAGGTTCGATTCCCGGGCCGGGAGAAATAGCTGTATGGCCTACAATTATTTCTCTCGTGAGTTTGGGTGTAATTTGTGGTTGTCTATGTGTGTGTCCATGGCACCCGCGACACAGGGTTTCCCTAGTGCGGGGCTATGTCGAGTGTGTGCGTTAAAATAAAAAAAAATTAAATTACTGGATTACTGGATATACACACCTAATCAACATGCTTTTTTAAGAAGTGTCACATACCTCCATTTACACTTACAGATGCGAATTTTTTTGGGGGATTTTGACCACTTTATCTACGGAACTGCACGAGTTTTCAACTGTCGTTATAAGGCACATGACAACTAATAGTATTATCTCATAAAGTGCATTATATTATATTTTATCTCAAAAATTGCGTTATTTTTGAGAATAATGAGAACAATTTTTGAGATAACACTGTTATTTGTCATATGTACCTAATATGAAGGTTTAGATCAGTAGTTCCCAAACTTATTTTTCTCGTGGACCACTTTCAAAATTTTACTGGTGTCGGTGGACCCCCTGCTGCTACATTTCTACCACATTCTTAAAGTCGCCAAAAAATAAAAATTGTGTCGTTTTTGAGTTCTGTCCCTATATTCCGATAGGTAAAATAAAAACGAAAAATGGTACATTTTATAACATTTTATTTATTAAAAGAATAGAATTACAAGAAAAAAATAATAAGGTAATATAGGTTCAGGTTATAATTTTAATTAATGGGAAGGATGTATTTGACGAAGTGTCAGCAAACGATCAATGTTTGGCTTTATTTTTGTGAGCAATAATCGCAAATCCCCCCGCTCTGTGATGTTTAATTTGCTCCTTTTTTTTGTTAAGAGGTTTGTAACGGCACTAAAACTCCTTTCGACAAGGTATGACGAGGGAAAAGCTATTAAAAATTTCTTTGCGATTTCCCACAGTCCAGGATATTTTTCGGGTATTTCTGCTTGCAGCCAAAATGTTTGGTAGCCTTTTCTAAATTTCACCTTCAGCTCCTCATTGGTGCTTATCTCGAGCAGCTCCTCTTGTAATACAACATTGGCCACTTCCGTTTCATCAAATTCAAATGGATTTATGATCCATGGTGGTATATCCATCGTCAGCATATCTTCAAACCTGGTTTTAAAGTCATCATGCAGGGCACTTAAATGTTGACTGTAGGTATGGATATCCTCATCAATACATTCTACCTGCGACAAGTTTGGAAATTGAGAGAATTCGCGCCGACTAATGTTTTGCTTCATAAATTTCAATTTCCCAAGAAAAGCCGAAATTATCCCCTTTGTTTTTATTAAATTCAGGCTGTCCCCTTGTAACTGCAAGTTGATATCATTAAATTTTTTAAACAAACATGTCAAATGCGCAATGTCTGCTTTGAATTTGATCAAGTTTTCTTTTAAATCTGGATCTCTACTTTCTAGGAACTCTAATACGGAATCGAAAACAGAGTAAAATCTCGTTAAGCATGCGCCTTTCGACAACCAGCGTAGTTCAGTATGTAAGAGCAGTCGTTGGAAGTCTTCATCATTTTCATCGCACAATTGAGCAAATAAACGCGTATTCAATGCATTGCTTCTGATTTTGTTGACAGCTTTTATTACAAAATGAAGAGATCGGTTCAACCTGTCACTTAACTGTTTTGCCACAAGATGTTGTCGGTGGATTACGCAATGAATAGCTGTAAGTCCTGGTATAATTCTTTTGAGATGACTTATAAACCCACGATATCGCCCGACCATTGCAGGAGCTCCGTCTGTTGCCACTGAAATAATGTTTGTAAATGAAATCGATTTTTCCGTAAAAAAATTACTCAGAACATTAAATATTGATTCGCCTTTAGTGTCAGTCTCTAAAGTTCTGGCAAATAGCAATTCTTCGTGAATTTCTTCCTCCATAATAAATCGGACATATGCCATGCTTCATTACCGGGTAACGTTGACTCGACCAGTTGTATAGAAAAATGAGTTTTTTGCAGATGATCGCACAAAAAACTTTCGATATCAGAGCTCATTTCATCAATGCGTCTTTGAACAGTATTGTTACTTAATGGAATTCTTTTTAGTACGTCAAATGGAGATTTGTGCAAAACAGTTTTTAAAACCTCTTCAACAGCGGGTAAAATTAATTGTTCTCCGATAGTGAGCGGTTTTCCAGATTTTGCTATAAGTAATGAGATATTGTAAGATGCCCGCAAGCCGTCATCGTTACTTTGAGATGTTGAAGCGAACATACTGTGCATGGTG